TGTGTGTGTGTGTGTGTGTGTGTGTGTGTGTGTGTGTGTGTGTGTGTAGGAGGAGGTAGTTCCACCTTTCCTTGAATATACCTAGCCCTCTTGCAGTTACCTTTAAAATACACTTTCCACCCTTTCTCTCTCCTTTTGTGGCAAGGTGAATCCTCACAAAGGACACCTACCCCAGGACAGAAACCTAAGCAGGATAATAATCTGTAAACATAAATAGATGGATCCAACTATGGACTTCTTTCAGACTTAAGTTTGAACTCTGACTTCCATGGTTTTAACTGAATGTTTTCCATGCTCCTGTGCAATACCTGTTCTCTGCATGTTTATACAAGGAACAAAGGATTTTTCTTTTGTTTTGAGTCCTGTGGCACCTTATAGACTAACAGACGTATTGGAGCATAAGCTTTCGTGGGTGAATACTCACTTCGTCAGATGAGTATTCACCCACGAAAGCTTATGCTCCAATACGTCTGTTAGTCTATAAGTGCCACAGGACTCTGTCGCTTTTTACAGTTCCAGACTAACACGCCTACCCCTCTGATTCTTTTGTTTTGTGTGTAAAAGTTACATAAATGTATAACCAAGTTTAGAATTCTCTTTCCTGCTATGTTGTAAATAATTTTTCCTCATTTCAAGATTTTTTGTGTGTGTTTTTAAAGATTCTTCTGTTTTGTTTTGTACATTTGTCTGAAAATCAAGCTTTACTGGAGATAACCCCTTACAGGGCATAGAGAGAGTAGAATTCTAGCTTTTGGCATAAGGGGATCCTTGGCCCTCTCCCTTGCTCTTGCCTTTACCTTATCCTTCCCTCTCCCACTTTGTAGATCTACTTGTGAAAAGGTACCATTACTCCATTCAAATTAACAGAATTGCCTGATATTAATATTAATTTGATCTTTCTTTTTCACAGCCCAGTCACTGAAAGAGTTTGCCCGGCTACTGATTGCTGTAGAAGAGGAGAGAAGACGACTTGTAAGTCTAATATAGTATACTTTTATTTTATTTTATTTTTGAAAATACCAAAATTTGTTCATGCATCCTGAGAAAACATTCTGAGCTCCTCTGTACTTGTAAAGTATATCCTATACACGATGTATTTGCAGCCACGTTAATGAAACATTTTGCTTAAAATATTAGTTTAATGTGGTTTGGTAAGGGGTAAAATACTCCAGTAGTGCAGCTGTTAAATTTGGTGTAATTTTGCTGCTTAGGCTGCCAAAATCAGGAAATTAGCCAGTCTTGAGCCTCACTGGGTTGAAAGAGGCTCAGTAAAGTGCTTCATTACAAACATCAACGAAGTAAGGTTATTACTTTAAAAATACTTTCTTTGCTATGATGATAACACAGCCCATCCAAAATGGATATTGAAAGAAACAGCAGCAGAGTAGAAGGGAATAAATAGAAATTTGAAATGGGCCACCCTCATTACCACTACAAAAGTGATTTTTCCTCCCTTGGTATTCTACTGTTAATTGAATTGTCTCGTTAGACTGACCCCCAACTTGGTAAGGCAACTCTCATCTTTTCATGTGCTATGTATATATACACCTCTACCCCGATATAACGCAACCCAATATAACATGAATTCGGATATAACACAGTAAAGCAACGCTCCAGGGGGCGGGGCTGCGCGCTCTGGCGGATCAAAGCAAGTTCGATATAACGCGGTTTCACCTATAACATGGTAAGATTTTTTGGCTCCCGAGGACAGTGTTATATCGGAGTAGAGGTGTACCTGCTACTATATTTTCCACTCCATGCATCTGATGAAGTGGGTTTTAGCCCATGAAAGCTTATGCCCAAATACATTTGTTAATCTCTACGGTGCCACAAGGACTCCTCATTGTTTTCTTTCTTTCTTTCTTTCTTTCTTTCTTTCTTTCTTTCTTTCTTTCTCTCTCTGCCTGATTGCATACGTCTGGTTCCAAATAGAGGTGTGTGGTTGACTGTCAGTTTGTAACTCTGATGTTCGTAACGCTGAGGTTCTACTGTAATTCAATTTTTTTCAAAGAAAAGCAGTGTACATAAACACTAACTCACAAATCATTTAAGATTCCATTGTTGTTCTAATGTAAACTTTTAATTTTTTTTAAATGATGGAAACATAGTTAAATTATTTTGTTTTAATGAAGTGTATATTTTTCTTGGAGTGATGGTCTCTATTGTATTCCACTGAGGCTTTACGCACGCACACCATGCATCCAGAGCCGGAGAATTTAAAAGTAGTGTCCATTGGACTGCGTATGTGCCCTGGTTTTCCTCAAGGTTTCATCCGAGGTGATAAAGGGCTGGGCAGGGCGGACCGACCGTGTTTCCAGTTCATAGAATCTTAGAAGAATAGAGTTGGAAGAGACCTCAGGAGGTCATCTAGTCCACCCCCCTGCTCAAAGCAGGACCAACCCCAACTAAATCATCCCAGACAGGGCTTTGTCAAGTCGGGCCTTAAAAACCTCTAAGGTTTTTCCTTCTCACGGCTGCATGGGCAATGTTGGAACTTTCTGTGTCCTCGTCTCTGATGCAGCTTTAAAAACATTATTGTACTTAGTTTTAGAATTTTACAATTTATAGTGTTTTTAGCTATTTTTAATTTTTTTTTGTAGTTTTAGTGATTAGGATAGATTCTGGAGATACTGGACTATGCCTAAGACCCCAGGTTTTAAAATCTGTACCTCCTGCCTGTGTTCCTTCTTGGTCAGTGACAAACATCAATGCTGCCTTTACTTCTTGGGAGAAACCCACAATGCATCCAGGTGCAGATCTGCCTGTCCTTCCCCAGCCGTACCCAAAAAGGGTGGGCTGTCCACCTCCTAAAGCACCTTATGGAAGTCCTCATGAGGCCTCACTCAGACCCACGCCAGGGGACTCCCTGTGTACATTGGCCTGAAACAGATCTGGCACTGGTGGTACCACCACTAAGGACCCTGTGCTGGGACCTAGTCAAGAGGTAAGGAAGCATGTCCATAAACATGGCATTAAGTCTTCCTCAAAACCAAAGAAAGGGGATGCTCCTTCCACGAATTTGAATCACGGACAGGGAGTGCACTTTTATACACCTAAACATGAGAAGAATTCCCACAATCGAAGGAATCAGGCAGTCCCGGGTACCGAACCACAGGTACAGTTGACTTTGATTCCTGAGGTTCCCGGTGGGCTTGAAACCCATTTCCAATACAGGGTTCTTCCCTTTGGACTAACCACTGCTCCCAGAGTCTTCACCAAGGTTTTCTCCGACGTGGCGATCTACATCAGACATCATAGGGTCCTCATATTCCCCTATCTAGATTACTGATTCCTGGCTGCATGATCCAGACACGAAGCCCAAGTTTCAACCTCCATGCTGCTTAGCATTCTTTCATGCCTTGGGGCCAGTATCAACATAGAAAAATCAACCTTGGACCTCACATAATCCCTTGACTTTATAGGGGCCACCATCAACTTGGTCACAGCACGGACCTACCTACCAAGCAACAGGATCCAGACACTGCAAGAACTCATAACTCGCATTGTCAACAATCCTTATGTCTCTGCCAGGACTTGCCTGTCTCTCCTTGGCCACATGGATTTGTGTACATACGTCGTTGCCTTCACTCAACTCAACCTTCGCTGCCTCCTGATGTGGCTCCTGACAATTTATGCTCCCAAATATCACACCGTGGACTTGCTGCTGACAGTTCCCCACAGGGTGCTCTCTCCCTCCAGGGGTGGACAGACCCACGTCATGTCTGTGTATGGGTTCTCTTACTCCCCTCCTCCCCAGAGAGGACGATCATCATGGACGCATTCTTTGTTAGTTGGGGAGCACACATGGATGATCACATGACACAGGAAACATAGACTCCTTGGGAATGCAGGATGCACATCAACATTGTGGAACTCCAGACTGTAAGGAAAGCATGTCAAGTCTTTCTCCCGTTCATCTGTTCCCATCATGTTCTTATCATGTCAGACAAACCACCACTGTTTTCTACATCAACAGAGGAGGTCAGAGGGGGATACGAGGTTGACTGCTCTGTTTGCAGAAGCAATCAACCTCTGGAATTAATGTGTCACCCACCAGGTCCTCTTGTCTGCAGCCTATCTCTCAGGAACACAGGACCTGACTGCAGACTCTCTCAGCAGGCAGTTTGTGATCAACCACGAGTGTGAACTCCATGAATCCATAGTTCAGGACATCTTTAGCTGATGTGGGATGCCGAACAGAGACCTCTTCACCTCCCACATAAGCACCAAATACAACCTCCAGGAGAGGTCTTGGTCACCACTCTCAAGGCAACACTTTCATACTCTCCTGATCAGATCAACTCAACTATGCCTTCCCTCCCCTTTGGCTCCTACCCTGAGTACTCCACAAGATCAAATGTGACAGAGCAACAGTCCAGACAGTTCTGGTTTACCAACCTCCTTCATATGTCCACCTGACCACCATTTCCCATCCCCATCTTCCCTGATATCCTGACACAGAACAGCAACGAGATCAGACATCCCACTCCACAGGTGCTCCATCTTAGAGCATGGTATTTGAATGGATATCTTTTCTAGAATGGGCCTGTTCCTTAGATGTCCAAAACATTCTCTCCAGAAGCAAGAAGGAGTCCACTAGGCACGGTTACCAGGCCAAGTGGAAATGCTTCGCCTCGAGGCCCAACAAAAGGGACTTTCCCCAGAATCCGTGGGGATCCCCCTCTTCCTGGACTACCTCCTGTCCTTGAGACCCAATGACTTCATTCTCCACTCTCTAAAAGTCCACCTAATGGTGATTAGCACCTTCTACCCACCCATGGAAAGGCGCTCCGTCTTTACACACCCACTAAGTGTTAGGTTTTGGAAGAACCTTCTTACCCGTCTAACCCATTGCTCCCCAGTGAGACCATAACCTAATTCTGTCCATACTAACAAAATCACCTTTCAGCCCGCTGGCATCATGCTCTATGTCCCTCCTTTCCATGAAAGTCACATTCCTGGTTGCTATCACTTCTGCAAGAAGCGTTGATAAGCCATGATGGCAGACCCCCCTGCTTCACAATTTTCCATAAAGATAGCATCTCACTGTGTCTGCATCTCAAATTTCTGCCAAAAGTCATCTCCTTGTTTCACATTAATCCATCCATTCACTTCCCTGTTTTCTTCACGAAGCCACGAGCATCCACAGAGGAATGATGACTCCATTCCCTAGACATCCAACGGGCCTTGGCCTTCTCCCTGTACAGAACAAGACCCATCAGGAAGTCCCCCAGACTCTTTGTTGTAGTAGCAGAAAGACTCAAAGGTCAGACAGTCTCCACCCAGAGAATCTCCAAGTGGATTTTGGGTTGCATTACACTGTGCTATCGACTATCTTGCCTTCCTCCACTTACTGGGATGCAGGCTTATTACCTACGAGAACCCAGGTTTCAACCACGACCTCCCTCTGCAATGTGTTCCTCTGGGACATATGTAGAGTGGCCCCGTGGAGTTCAGTGCATGCCTTTGCTATGCACTACACCTTAGTACAGGACTCCGCGGCAAATGCCTTCTTCAGCATGGCAGTCCTCCACTCAACCACTACATCTTCTTCATCACACCCTGCTCCAACTTAGGTACTGCTTGTTAATCACCCTCAGTGGAATACAGTAGGGACCATCACTTGAAGAAGAATAGGTTACTTATCTGTTACAGAAGGTTCTTCGATATGTGTGGTCCCTATCTGTATTCCACTTCTTGTCCTCCTTCCCCCTGTTACGGGTCTGTTAGTTTTGCGGTGGAGAAGGAACTGGAGGTGTGATTGGTCCGTCCTGCTTTTATCACCTTGGATGAAACCATGAGGCAAACCAGGGTGAATGCGCAGACCAGCAGACACTACTTACAAATTCTTTGGCTCTGGATGCATTGTGCGCATGCATAAACACTCAGCGGGCTACAGTTAGGGACCACCCATCTCAAAGAACTTCCAGTTACAGGTAAGTAACCTCCTCTTCCAAAATACTATCCCGTGG